AATATGGTGACAGGAACCTTGAATAAATGGGTGGAGTACTAAAGCCCTTTGAACAGTTTTCTAGCCTAACTAGTGAAATCAGTTAAAGAACTTTTAAACTCAAGTGCCTCATTCACTAAGTATATAAAAAACACCAAGGTTTTCATGAAAAAGCACATGATACACAGAGGCAGCTGCCCTGAGAGATAGCATCTGGTAACAGCCTAGTTATTTTTAAAGAGATAACTTCATGATAATGTACAGGAGACTGTAGCAGTCCTGTGGGACGAAGAGAGCGAGAATTTGGGAAGAAGCTAAGTTCTCTGTACAAACTCAAAATAATCCTATAAAACAGCCCATCATTCCCAGTGTCCTTTTGATCCAAAGACATGCACAAGTCTCTGAACTGGACAAGTTCAACTACGGCCATGGCCTTCCTATGCCATTATCAGTAATGGTTTCCCCTTGTTGTAAAACATTTGACTAATCACTCTTAGACCCAGAACATAACATCAATACTGGTACAATCCTGTGCTCCTCCTTCTGCACATTCTTCTGAAATACTTTTCTCATTAGTTTTCCTTAATCATGCTCTTTTCTTAAAAAAGAAAGACAAAAAGAAAAAAAAATGATCCAAGGATATGCACACTAAGCAGATTTTCACCCCAAAACTTAGCCTTAATCTTCTGGAGGCAAATGTCCTTTATAAGCTCACTCTTCTATGGTTGCCGCTTTTCCTAAACCGCAGGCCTTCCTGACTGGCAGCAGGGCCAGGGCAGATTACAGTTATGTGGTAGGTTCTGTTGGACGAGCTCTGACAAGGCCTCAAAATAGACCCTGGGCACCAGCCAGAGACACTGCCACTCACAAGTTCCAACTTCACCATCATACATTAGCCCCTCAGTACTTTTTATTTTTCTCTAGAATCTCTCATTTTCAAAGGTAAAATGTTCCTGAACCCCCCTCCTCCTGGTCATGAGAGAGCTGTATAATACAGAAATTAAACTTTTAAACTCTTAATTTGCTCACAAACACTTTGCAGAATAAAAACTGAAGCTGTACCTACCCCCTGTCTTGGGAAATTAATCCATCCATAGCACTCTGGGTTGCAAAAGGTGTTTTGAATCTCAAACTCTACAGAGGTTTCTTTTATTATGAATAGACTAGGATGTGGAAGGTAAAGGAAGACAGAAGGTGGACTATTTTCTGTGACTAATAATATAGTAGCGGACTTCATCAGGGCAAGAAGTTAAACTACATACAATATTTTTAATTGATATTGGTCATAAAATCCTAAAACAATCAACCGACTACAAAAGTATTCATTTAACTATTACCCAATAAAGTGAAGTGGTTTGTCTATAACACTAGTCTTCAAGCTACAGTATTTTCACCCTTACCAGTATAAACAAAATTAACCACCCGTCACTCTAAAATGTTTAAGATTGCCTTATAAACTACATTTTAATCTTTTTTAAGTGGAGAAGATAGAATACAAAGTAAGAGCTCCTTTCTCCTACAAGGTTAAGAAAGAAGTTAACTTGTATTATAAAATTGATTCAGTGTAAGGTTGAAACAAATTTATAAATCTTCACAACTTAAGGTCCCATTTTGCAATCACTCTTTCAGAAATATATTCTATATACATACTTATGGACTAGTGCAAAGATTTATATACTAATTGTTCACTATAGCAACATTTGTAGAAAACTAAAAACAACCTAAATGTCTCTTAATAGGGAATGGAAAAATAAATCATGGAAAATGAATAAATTATGGTTCATCTAAACTAGGCAAGACATCCAGTCTTTTTTAAAAATCAGATGGACACGTGCTAAAACAGAAAAATCTCTAAGATATATCAAGGATAAGAATGAAAGATAGAAGAAAGTTCTCCTAAACACAGGAGATTACATATGCAATAGAAATTTAGAGAACATACAGGAAACCATTCAAAGTGGTTGCTTGGATTAGGGAATGGGGGAGTGAGAGAAGGCTAGAAGTCTGTTGTGGAGAGGAGGCTTCCTTCGCACAATATAACACTTTTTTTTAAACGTTTTATCAATTTTTAGAAGTCCTACAAACATCTACTGTACCCATGAAGTGGGCATCCTCTTTCCCTGTATGTATGCCAGGTCTTCTCAACAATTTTTACTCTTATATACTGCTCTCCGTACCACTAGACCAAAACAAAAGCAGATACTTTTAGCAAATATCAGAGTTTCCCCAAGAAACAGAATCCTTTCTCCCTCCCCCGACCAGAAGAAAGAAGTAATAGAATAAACGAAAAAGTTTAACTTAAACTAAACCCAGTTTTTAGCCCAATGTTCAATTCCTTGTAAGGCAAAAAGTTTTAAAAATAAAGTGCAATATGCAACACACACACACACACACACACAAAATCATTTCCAAAGGTATAGTCTAGCTAGTATCTTAAAAGGAGAAATGGAGAAAAAGGTAAAGTTATTTTACTCACAGGGCAAATTCTGCTCAATCCCTTCCCTCTAGAGTTTTAAAAGTTGAGTTTTGAACAACCGTCATAAAGTCTATTGTTTGCAAACTGGATAAAGTGGTACATTTTCCTGGATAAAGGTCCATCTCTCCCAGAGTCTCCAGAAAGAAGTAACTACTTAAAAGGAAAAGGCTATGAAATGGCCTCTATTTTGTAGGTGCACCTATGGTGAAGACAGAAGAACTGTATTTCCTCTTAAATGATCCTCATCAACATTCCCAGAACTCTGCCAGGAGAATTTTTTTTCCTATACATCTTCAATTCTGTTCCTTTTCATACTAGGAGCACAGTAAAACAATTCACAAAGAGCTTAGGAAGACATAGCTCTCATTTCTAGTAAAAATATGTTTTTGGTTTTGCTTTGAGAGAAAAACAATCTACTTGACAAATATACCCTCCTATCACTTTTTTTCCTTCATTATGGAGATGCTTAAATCATGACATAAGAAGGCTTCTCTTACATATCTACCTTATCAAGACTGTTAGTTATGGTGGTTTCCACAAGGGGTTTTCCAAAAGGGAATCTCTGTTTACCGGGAACTGAAACTCTTAATTAAGTCACTATTTGCTGGACAAAAATCAAAAGCAACATTAAGGAACACTCTATATATAAGAATGAATATCCAAGAAAATAAGATGCCAAAATTTAGTCAAATAATTAAAGGAACCTGGTAAGCAAGACCAACTTACCATTACTTTATAGTTGGTAACTAACTATAAAGTTCCCTAAAATTGAAAATCAAGGTAAAATAAGATGAATTCCAAAAAAGCAAAAGAAAACAAGGCTAAGAATATCAAGTACCCACCCTGTGATTCAAGGTTATTTTGCTTAACAATATTTTTAAAGCCAAAATGATCAAATTACATTTCAGCAATAAAAAGTTATTTCTAGTTTACAATGAATTCATTCCAATAATAAATCACAACTTCCATACAGACTTTCCTCTATAACAGAACTTACATAAGAACCCAATATAGTCTCATTCCACATTTTTAAGGATTCACAAAATAGGTGAGGCCTTTCACTGAAAGGACTATTTTGTATACTGTAGATTCTTCAGTAAACTTTTTTATACCTTTCACTGACATTTACTTTGTCCCTAGGCCCCTTCATTTATCTTCCCACATCTGGCAAAAAAAAAAAGGTGGGGGAAGGGTATAATTACAACAATCCACTTAGAAACTAACTATTCTAAAGCCAGATATTCTGCAAAAGTTCCATTTTTATTTCTTTACCATACTTCAGGACAATAAGTATCCAGCAGCAAACCTAACAAAGCTAATACAACACTCCATATACAATGACTGAAGGCATCTAAAGAGCAGTAACAAACTTCTTGCTTCCCTCTATTCCAATTTTAAGATCCATATCAATGACTCACAAAGTGAGTGAACCTAACTTTCTAAATGAATCACACTTTCTGAAATTCTTACTCTAACATGAATATTACACTAGGTCATCATCTCTATATTTGTTAAACAGAGCATGATGATGGTTAAACAGGGTTAATTCTGCAAGACTTCCAAACCACAGCCAATCTCAAGTCTCTGCCAATTAACTCTTATCTGCAATACTGAATTCTCCAACAACTGAACCTTTATGTATAGATTCATCCCTATATAAAATGCTATCTTGAAAAAAAAAACACGTTATTTTAAATACTATGAACTCGCCCACCCATACCTGTTCACCATCTCTCTGGTTCCATTTACTGCATCCACGTTCTCTTCCCATTGTGATAACATAAAAAATTAATGGCTACTCAGTTATTCCTACATAGTATCTTTTAGTCAACTAACCTAGTCTGCAGTTTTTCTGTTTACGGCAGAAATGCTGAGTCATTAAATGGAAACTCATAGAAAATGAGCTACGAACGCTTAAAGTTTAGGATACAGCATTTCCCTAGCCGTGTCTCAGCAGCCTAATATTTGTATCTCCCACAGTGGAAAAGTAGAGCAAACACTTGAACTTTTTTCCCTCTAAGAAAGAAAAAGAGGTGCGTTTCCTTAGGTCCGCCTGCTTCCTGCTGGATATCCACAGGCAAGAGAAGCAGGCCCGACCGCAGCTGTGTAACTTAACAATCTGGGTGTGAATAACACCCCGTTTAGTCAAGCATTAACCCCGGCACTCCTAGCCCGCGCTTCAGTTAGGGTCAAGGAGGAAGAAAAAAAAATCCCATAAAAATGCTACGCCCTCCACCGGCCTGACACCGTTCGCAGGGGTGCCGGTCCGGGGAAGAGGAGAAGGAGCCTCGAGCACCCGAGGCAAAGGGACAGCGGCCCAATGCAATTTCTCCCACAATGGGAGTAACCCCATCCCCTCGCACAGACCGAGGGCGCGCGTTAGAAATCAGGCGTGCTGCCGGCGAACGCGGTAGGCTGGGGGCGACCCCGACCCGAGAGCCCGCAGGGAAACCGGGCCCCCAGCAGGGGTCAGCGGCGGCGCGGGTCGCACGGGCTGTAGAGGCCGGGAAGGGGCCCCCGGGACGGCAGGAGGGACGGACCTTACCTGTCCTGGGCACGGGCTGTGGCTACGGCGCCGCCCGGGAAGGGCCGGGACGCGGGTCGGCCGCCGGGAGCCGGCCGGGCAAAAAGCGAGGAGCGGAGGGCGAGGGGCGCGGACGGCGAATTGGGTCCCAGGCTCCCGGCCAGGTGGGCCGGGCTAGACGCGGCGGCTCCCGGAGCCTGCGGCCGGTGGGTCAGTCACGCCGGTGGGTCAGTCACGCCGGTGGCCCCGTGGCGCGGCGGCTAAGACAGAGACAGCGGGAACCGGTCTCCGGGAGGAGCCGCAGCCCGAGCGGCTGGAGAAGGAGGCGAAGGAGGGGCGGGGCCACGGGGTCGGTGACCCGCTTACCCGGAAGCAGTTGCGACCGCGGCGGCGCGCGCTGCGGGACTGGCAGGATCCCGGCGTGGCGGCGGACCGTCGGCTCTTCTGCGGCAGGCTGCGCGCCGACCCCGGAGCGGTGCTTCCGCTGCCGTGCGCGGCCACAGCGAGCTGCAGGCTCCGCGTTGGAGGGAGGGTGCCGAGGTGCGACTCCGGTGGGCGGAGGCCCGGGCGGCCTAGAGGTGGCGCCTCGGATCCAGCGGAGGACCGGAGGCCGGGAAGGTGAATCGAGGCGGCCGCCCGCTCGAGGCTGCCCGGGTCGCCCCTAAACAGTCCGGCCTAGTGGGCTTGGGTAAGTGGGCCTGGGCAGCGGTTCCGACTGTAGGGAACGAGTGTGCGAGAGTGAGTGGGTGTGATGGCAACGCGAAAAGCCTTATTTCCAAAATGAAAACGCGTGATTTTAAGATGGTTTCCGGAGAAGAATGCGGCGGTGCTGGGGGCGGGAGAGGAGGCGGGCGGAGGGCTGTAGAGGCCTTTAAATATCTGCTAGACACGGACGTGTCATTCATTCCAGAAGTGTCTCTCGAGATTCAGCAGGTTCAAGGCGCTGGAGAAAGGCCAGGGCCCAGCCCTTTGGGAAGCCTACCTTCGGGGGCGGGGGGGTGGGGGTAGAGCGATTTAATCAGACAAACAAGGTAATGACAGATTGTGGTAAAGCTGTGCAGGAAATACATAAGGATGATGTGACTGTGTGGGCGAGACCCCTTTTTCAGGATAGGATGGCTAGAGAACCATCCTCAAGAGGGACGTGACAGTTGAGCATCTTCCTGGGGAAAAGGCACGAAATACGCTTAGACACAATTTTACAGACAGGGAATGCAGGTTCCGAAACCTGCTGAGTACGCCCCCGGATTCCATGTGAAGAACCTGTGTCTAAAGCCTTCTAAGGCCTGTCTCGGTGCTGTCCACTCTTGCAGTTTCACAAGGCTTGCTCACCTTTTCGAGTAGATGGAGCCTGGGAATATGGCACTCTTAGCGGAGGTTCAAGGAATGAGTTAGGGAACGTTAGTCCCCAGGCGTACATCAACAGGCGCTTCATCATAGGAGAATTACACTATCAGCCTTGAAAGACAAATTCTTTATTTAACCTTTTACCATTTTTTTCTTCCATGTCACTTTTTCTCAGACCCATGAGTAAACACTAAAACTATGATTTTTACCTGGGATCAAGAGGAGTTTGGGGCACCTGGGTGGCTCAGTCAGTTTGGTGTTTGCCATAGAGTCAGGTCATGATCCTGGGGTACTGGGATCAATCTCCATTCCCCCCCCTCCCCCCCCCGCCAACCTCCCCACCCCTCCAAGGCCCCCTGTTCAACCAGGAATCTCCTCCTCTCTCTCCCTCTACCCTTCCAGCCCGCTTGTGCTCTCTTTGTCGTTCTCTCTCTCTCAAATAAATAAAATCTTTAAAAATTAAAAAAAAAGAGGAGCTTAATCTTCCCAAAAGATCATACTCTTATAATTAATGGCCTATTTTGCTAAACCAGTTAAAATCAAAATAAAAAGCCAACTTGAAAAAGAGAAGACTTATTCATGTGTTAATGTATTACCTAAGTAATACCAAAAAATAAAGTAATATTTATCTAAATATTACTTTATATAACTGCATAATTAATAGAACAATTGTCTGGATAATAGTAGGATTAGATTCTCTTGTCCTGTATATTTACCCCTTAGCCATTTGTTTTGACACTTACCAAACTAGCAGAGAAAGAAATATTTTGTTGCATCTTCTGGGAAAACTGTGAAGGACCTCACACTTATTGCTACCTACTGTCTGCACAGCATTGTGTTAGGCACTTAAATATAGCATTCCTTGCAGTTCTAGGACCAACCTTGAGATATGGGGATTATTATATTCATTTTAGTAACAAATACATTGAGATTCAGAGACTCTGACTAGCCTAAGGTAACAAAACTAGTTGCTGAAAGAGTCAGAATTTTAACTTGGGTCTTTCTAGCCCTAATTCCCCTTCTACTATGCATTGTGTTGCTAAACTCTAGTATTTAAGAAGGGAATATAAGTGAAGTGTCTAGCCAAGCAGATTTCTGTGTTGCTTTAATAAGCTTGAGATGAGGCAATTTTAGAGCTTCTCTGTGTCTTTACTTCTCCTGTTATAGGATATTTGCCATCTATCTGGCATTAAGAAAGCTACTCATAAAAGTTCATAATGCCGTGTGTCTTTAGAATCCACCCAAGAATGTGATCAATTATGACACTGACATTTTGTCATTGCAGGGAGTCCTGCCTAAATGTGTCACTCTGAATTCTTTTGCAAGCAGCCTTTCCTTGCACATTAAGTGATTTCTTTCTGCCAAAAATATGTGTTCCCAGATTTTTATGGAATATTGTGACATGTGAATGCCCCCAGGTCTGTGTAGGCTGGCTGCTCTATGGACATTTAATGGATGAAGGAAAATCTTGCAAATGTTTATACAGTTTTGAGGAATGAAGTGGTAGGATTTGTACATTTTTTTCCTTCCATATCAGATCTTTCACGTTTTTCTTTGATGATGTCAAGAAATATAGGTTTTCCTTTCTCAAGAGCAAACACTCATTTTTGTGGTTTTTGCAAAATTTGTTGGTTTTTTTGCAAACAGTACTATGTTTCACTCTCCCTGTGGCTCTGGAAAATATCATTAATTCAAACATTAAAATTAGTATGCCACTTTTCAGAGCCTAATATTTTTATTAGTAATGTGTGTGCCTGTCTGTCTGTCTGTCTTGGAAGCATTTTTAAAAATTTTGGTTAACTCCTTACAAACCTATGGAAATCTGGCAAACAAGTCTTCAACTATGTATATTTAAATTCTCTTTCTAAAAATTCCTTTTTCCCTTTACTATTTTTCCTGGGGTCTTCTTTTTTTACTTTTTAACTTATTTATTTCACTTTTTATTTGGAAATAATTATAGACTCACAAGAAATTGCAAAAATAATACAGAGAGGTTCTGTGTAGCCTTTACCCACTGGTAGCATCCCCCCACTGGTAGTATCTTGCATACCTGTAATACATTATTAAGACTAGAAAATTAACATCTTACTAAAATTAATGTCTTTAGGTTTTTAGTTTCTTTTTACGTTTCATGATATCCAAAAATTACCGTTTTATAAATTCATTTTTATTGTACTTGGTTGGGCTCTTCTCCCTTTCCTAAATTAACAAATGACAGAGTTAATAAGCTTGCCAAAGGGCTCATCTGGAATTACAGGTTTACTAAAAACTTCTGTTTCAGTGCACTTGAAATCATTTGTAAGATTTTTGCTTTTTTTCTGCTTTACTGTTCCTTGTCATTCTTCCCTAATAAACCTGTAAATGTATATAACTTGTGTATGTGTGTTTTAATATATCCTCTGATCACTGAAATGTTTTCAAAGAAATTGCTGTTAAAATTAAAAGAAAAATAGGGGCGTCTGGGTGGCTCAGTTGTTTGGGTGTCTGACTCGATTACAGCTCTGGTCATGATTGCAGGGTCATGGGATGAAGCCTCACATCAGGCTCAGCAGAGTCTGCTTAGAATTCTCTCTCCCTCTGCCCCACTCCCACCCTCTTGGGCTCTCTAAATAAATAAAGTCTTGGGGCACCTGGGTGGCTCAGTCGTTAAGGGTCTGTCTTCGGTTCAGGTCATGATCTGTAGGTCCTGAGTTTGAGCCCCACATTGGGCTCGCTGCTTGGTGGGAAGCCTGATTCTCCCTTTCCCACTCCCCCTATTTGTGTTCCCTCCCTCACTGTGTCTCTCTCTGCCAGATGAATAAATAAAATCTTTTAAAAATAAATAAATAAAAGAAAGTCTTAAAAAAGATAAAAAATGCAAAGCTTTTCATTTGGGGAAAAAAAACGTTTCCAGGGGCACCTGGGTGGCTCAGTCGGTTAAGCATCTGCCTTTGGCTCAGGTCATGATCCCAAGGTCATGGGATTGAGCCCCAAGCCTCTTGTCAGGCTCTCTGCTCAGCGGGGAGTCTGCTTCTCCCTCTGCCTGTGCCTCTGCCTTTTATCCCACTCCGTCTCTCTAAATAATAAATAAAATCTTTTACAAAGTTTCAGGGCACCTGGGTGGCTCAGTTGGTTAAGTGTCTGCCTTTGGCTCAGGTCATGATCCTGGAGTCCTGGGATTGAATTCTGTGTCTGGCTCACTACTCAATGGGAAGTCTGCATCTCACTCTCCCTCTGCCCCTCCACCTGCTTGTGTACTGTCTCTCTCTCTCTCTCTCTCTCTCTCTCAAAATCTTTTTTAAAAAATAAATAAGTAAAATAAAAACTAAAAAGTTTCTAAACATCTTAACTATCCAAGTGAGAATGCCACGGTCTTTTGGTTCAGAAGCCAAATCTCACCTGTGGCTAATTCTGACTCTGTGGATTTTCCTGGTCAGATAGCTCACCGTTTACTCCACTAGAGAGTAAACAAAGGAAAGAAAAGAAGTGTAACTTACTTTCTTCAGTCTTATTGGTGAGGAAAAGTTGATAAGAGGAGAGAATTTGGAATTTGGTGTAGGTATCAATTATGTATGAGTGCCTGATCACCCTGATAATCAAGTGATGGCTCTTCTGCATTATATATTTATTGTAAATGAGTAGTCAAACATCTTTCATACTATGGTCGTTTAGCAAAGGTATTCACCTACTGTGTACCAGGTACCCAGTTAGACACTAATAACAGGGACACAACAGGATCGATTTTTTTAAAGGAGTATTAAGCTATTACTATGTGCCAGATACTTCACAGATTATAGGGATCGAAAGGGAAGAAAAAAGAAAGCTGTGTTTTCTTACGAAAATTACTGTCTGAATAGGGAGACAAATTATCACACAAAAGGAACTTTATAATCCAGATAAGTATTACTAAGGGTAGGGAGGTGGTGCATGAGGGCTTTGAAGTGGAACTCAACCTACTTTGGGGTGTCCAAAATGGCTTCGAGCAAGAGATGCTTTGAGCCAAGATTGAAAACTGCCTCACGGGGAGCCTGGGTGGCTCAATGGGTTAAAGCCTCTGCCTTCAGCTCAGGTCATGGTCCTAGGGTCCTGGGATCGAGCCCCACATCAGGCTCTCTGCTCAGCAGGGAACCTGCTTCCCCCTCTCTCTCTCTGCCTGCCTCTCTGCCTACTTGTGATCTCTGTCAAATAAATAAATAAAATCTTAAAAAGAAAGAAAGAAAGAGAAAACTGCCTCAGGGTGGGGCGTCTGGCCTGGGTGGCTCAGTTGGTTGAGTGTCTGACTCTTGATTTCACCTCAGATCATGATCTCAGGGTCCCAGGATCGAGCGTAGCATCAGGCTCTGTGTTCAGCTTTGAGTCAGCTTGCGATTCTCTCCCCCTCTCTCCCTGTGCACCTCCCCCTGCCCACCCACCCCGGCTTGTACACTCACTCTCTAAAATAAATACATAAAACCTTTAAAAAAAAAAAATGGCTCAGAGTGAACTTGATATAGAAGTATCATAGAGGGAAAACATGAAGACTTCATAATGGAACCAGCATAGTCCCAGGGCCTGAAAATAAATGAGGGAGATAATGTGAGATGAGTCTAGAGAATTAAAGATCGGGGTCAGGATTAAAGATCAAGGATCAGGCAGGATCTTAACAGGTCTGGTAAAGATTCTTGTCTTTGTTTCAAAAGTGATACAAACCAATTTAAGAATTTTTAGTGGGAGTGACGTCAGATTTGTGTTTCCAAAAGATCACTCCGGTTTCAATGTGCAGAATTCATTCTTTAAATATATCCTGGGTGCCGACTATAGGCCAAGTTCCATTCTGCACACTGAGTACACAACACTGAACAAAACAGAAAGATCCCCTATCTTTGAGGATCTTCTAGACAATACACAATGATAGTACCTAAGATGGTGAGAAGCTCTTATAAAGAATACTGGAAGCCAGGCGAGAATAAAAGGATAGGGTGGTGGTGCTGTTTTATTAGCTTGAACCATATGAAATTCCTGGTCTTTTTTACATTCTTTTTAAATTCAGAACAATATTAGGTTCATGTGATTCCACATGGTTGAATGATATTAAATTGTTCAACCTAATACTTATTTGGAAGAGTCAGAGAAGACCTCTGACGAAGTCATGCAAAGAAAGAGGCAAGTCATTCGAATACTTAGGAGAAGAGCATCTCAAGCAAAGGGACAGCAAATGCAAAGACCTTAAGGAAAGAATGTGCTTGCCCCATTTGAGTAGCAATAAGGAGACCAGTGTGGCTGAAGTATGATAGACAACACGGAAGAATGGAATTAGGGACCAGATCAAGCGAAGTCTCGAAGACTATGGTAAAATATTGCCTTTTCCTTTCTGAATGAGGTAAGCTATCAGAGAGTTTTGGACAGAGGAGCTACACAATCTGTCACCTTAAGCAGGACTGTTCTGCTAATTGTAGAATCTAGGTAGAGTATATACAGATGGAGCAATGTAAAATGTTTTCACCTTTGTTGTATGTTTGAAAATTTACCTAATAAACATTATGAGACTGTTTTGGCTGCTATATTAGGAAAGACTTTAGGGAGGCAGTGATGAGATCGAAAAGACCAGTTAGGCTATTGCATTAATTCAGGCAGCAATAGCGGTATTAAGAAGTGGTTAGAGTCTGAATACGTTTTGAAGATAGAGACACTAAGATTTGCTGATGGAATGGATTCAAGATGCAAGAAAAAGAGAAAAGTGGGGGCCCCTGGGTGGCCCAGTCAGGTGTCCAACTTCAGCTCAGGTCATGATCTCAGGATCCTAGGATCAAGCCCCACATGGGCTCCGAGCTCAACAGAGACTCTGCTTCTCCCTCTCCATCTGCCCCTCCCCCAGCTCATGTGTCCTCTCTCTCTTTCTCTGTCTCAAAAAAATAATTAAGGTCTCTAGAAAGAGAGAAAAGTAAAAGACAACCCATAAGCTTTTAGACCTGAACAACTGTCAGGTTGGGCTTGCCATCTGAGATTTGGAAAACAGGGCACCTGGGTGGCTCAGTCTCTAAGCATCTGCCTTTGCCTCAGGTCATGATCCCACCGTCCTGGAAATCTATCCAGGCATTGGGCTTCCTGCTCAGCGGGAAGCATGCTTCTTCCTCTCCCACTCCCCCTGCTTGTGTTCCCTCTCTTACCATCTCTCTCTCTCTCTCTCTCTCTCTCTCTGTCAAATAAATAAATAATAAATAATCTTAAAAAAGAAATTTGGAAAACCGTCTAGATCAAGCTTCCACCAAGTTTGGAGGAAGACTTTTTGGACAAGGTAAGTTTGAGATGCCTATTGGACATCGAAGTGGAGATATCAAACAGACAATTAAATATGCAAGTAAGTAATTCAGAGGAAACATTCAGATAGGAAATTCAAATGTATGAATCTACCTGAAGATTAGGGATATGAGGACCAGTGCCTTGAGAATTAAATGGAAATACTCAGAGTTTAGCCTAAACCCTTTAACCTATGCTTTTGTTGTAGGCTGGTTTTGTTTCTAGCTATCACTTTCTATTGCCATGCATAATATTTATATGCATACTCTTTGCAATTCATTTGTGTTCTAAAGGGTTTCGTTTTTAATGTTCATATCTTTCCAAGCGGTTTATACATTTCCTGAGAAAAGACGTATTTTATTTTATACACTCCACAATGCCATATCCTTAGAACTATGATGCTTATATAATAAACTATGCCAATACAGAGTTTTTCATTTCTTTTGTTGTCATAAAGCATCAACTTTCTTAAAAATAATTTAGACCCTTCTGTCTTGTGAAAATAAGGGTAGAGTTAGAACTTTCAACCTACTGCCACTCATGCCCATTTCAAATCAGATCAGACAGAGCCTTCTGAAAAACAAAAAACAATAAGAAAGTCTCAGCTCTCCTCCTTATTGCCTTTATAATCAGGCTTTATGTGGTAGCAAGACGGTTCCCAACAATTTCAAGTCTACATCTATCCTGGTCCAAGTCCAGCAAGAAAAAGAACCTTCCCAGAAGTTCCTGGATTCACTAATTAAGTCAACACAGATTATCTACCTGTCCCTTAAAAAATTACTGCAGGTAAGAAAATTTTATGCTGTGATTGTCCAAATGTGAGTCACTGTTTCGCTGGTGTTTCATCCAAAGAACATGGACTGTAGAAGAGTGGTTCCCCAGAAGAAGAAGTGGGGTGCTGTCACCAAAATAAGGAAATGGATACTGATGGTCAGAAAATCATACATACTATATCAAATAACAAAGACCTAGAGCATTCTTCCTTAAGCTTTTTTATTAATTAATTAATTAATTTGTTTGTTTGTTTGTTTGTTGAGAAAGAAGGAGCTGGGGGAGGGGGGCGGAGCCTGACATGGGACTGGATCTTCGTTGGAATCATGACCTGAGCCGAATACAGATGTTTAACTGACTGAGCCACCCAGACAACCCCTCCTTAAGCTTTTTTTTTTTTTTTAAGATTTTATTTATTTATTTGACAGAGAGAGATCACAAGTAGGCAGAGAGGCAGGCAGAGGTGGGGGGGGGGGGAAGCAGGCTCCCCGCTGAGCAGAGAGCCCGACGTGGGACTCGATCCCAGGACCCCGAGATCATGACCTGAGCCGAAGGCAGTGGCTTAACCCACTGAGCCACCCAGGCGCCCCCCTCCTTAAGCTTTTAAAAGAATACCATGGGGGCGCCGGGTTGGCTCAGTCAGAACAGCACATGACTGGATCTCAGTGGCACGAGTTCAAATCCACCTTGGGTATAGAGATTACTAAAAAAAAAAAAAAAAAAAAAAAAAGGTAAAGAAATACCATGGCACTCATTTTACATCTCTCCCAATTCTCTACATAATACTGCATTATTTCCCCTGTATCATTAGGCTGTCAAAAATTCACTTGTCATTGATGAGTGAATGTCACAAAAAATAAATAAATGCATGAGTATAAAAGTAAACCAGCTGGAAGGGTCAGTTTTCAGCACGTCACTTTCCAGGATACTCCTACCTGAGTATTGCAGGTAGTTTCTTGTCCTACAATTCTTTCCTATTGTCAGTCTGCCTGAAAAATATTTACTAGCCCTCGGTACCCTGCGGGCAGGGTGGCTGCTAGCTAAGAGACCCGAGAAACCACTACAGAATCAAGTGACAATGAATCAGCTTACGTTTATCTTCTTGAAGGACATTTACTGTGTAGAATCTTGAAAGAAAAATGTATCAACGGGCTTATTTTCAGCTTCTTTTTGGTTTTACCACTTCCATTCCTTTCTACACTAATAGGTCACTTTCCCCACAAGATGTTTAACCTAACCTCTATGGCATTTTTATCCTTTTAGTTCAAATTTTGCTGCGGAAAATGGATAAATGGGTATAAAGAGAATGTTGGCTCTCTCTATTATACTGGAATTTGGGATGGTTTCTCTAGTTTGCTGCTTCCCTGGACACCAAACATAACATTCTCTGTTCTAGGACCTGCTTCAACTTGGTCATAAGACTGGCAGAAAGTCAAACCAAACTAAATGAGTAGTTGTTGGAGTTAATCTCACAGCCTGGAGCTGTATGGGCCATGGAATCGTCTGCTGTTATTAACAAGCACAATTCTGATCAGAATCACTGCTCTGTGGTCCTGTTCATCAGAATCTCATGTTTGGAAACCGGATTTGGGTCTGGGTACTTTAAAAATAGATATGATCATGGAATATAGCCATTAAAATTTCTATTGTAGGAGAAGGTAACATAGGGTCGTATTAATCATGTATTTAAATGTTGAAGTAGATTCCTGAACAATATGTTCAAGGTGATTCCTATATTGTTTAATATTATACAGATATAGACACCCAAATATTAACCTTAAGGAATGGAACCACCAGTGATTTGTTTACTGTTCAGGATATTCCCTGATAAAATGTACTATATCCATACTCAAAGTAAGTTTTAAAGAAATATATGTATCCCACCAGTACCCCAGAGTCAAAATACACAAAAGGTGCAACTAAAAAATTGATCTAATTATGATTCTCACTGCTCAAAACTATTGTTGATTTTTCTCTTGCCTTGCATACATCATTTTTTCCTTCCATTTTTAAAAATCAGGTACTGGGGGGCACCTGGGTGGCTCAGTGGGTTAAAGCCTCTGCCTTTGGCTCAGGTCATGATCCCAGGGTCCTGAGATCGAGCCCCACATTAGGCTCCCTGCTTAGCTGGGAACCTGCTTCCTCCTCTCTCTCTCTCTCTGCCTGCCTCTCTGCCTACTTGTGATCTCTGTCTGTCAAATAAATAAATAAAATCTTTCTTAAAAAATCATGTACTGGATGCTAAGAGTAAATGAACCATACAGGTGTGGCTTCTGCCCTCTCAGAACTAATTGGCTGGGGGCAGCATAACAAGTCAGCTGACAAACAATCCAGCCTGTCATGGTCCATAACAGAGTTTCGAGCATACTCTGTTAAAACACCCAACCCTCCTTTCACCCATCAGATTCTGGCTGTGGTATGTCCGTGGACAAGCACATTGAGCTCACACACCAGCACTCACTCTTGGTCAATGCTTCCATTTGAGCTGTGTCCCCACTGTCCACATGCTCATGCTCAATTACGAGGTCCTGGCCAATTATTTGGGTATTAATTTGCTCTTATTTTATAAAAATGAAATTGCAAATACTAGTTATAGGAAATGTAGGTCTTATCAATGTACTCTGAATGCTATAAAGATGTAAATCATTAGGCGTGCCAGAAACTGAATCTCTGGCATCAGATCCTCAGACGTTGATGATATGAAATCCAATAAACTGAGTGAAAGTAAAGAAGAAAATCAGAGACCAAGTATAAGACCCTGGGAGTATTATCCATTGTTAAATGTTGTGACTAAAAGTCTAGGTATGCTTGGAGATTTTAATCTTAATTTTTAGCTCTGTAAGAAAAGATTCCTCCTGAATCCCTAAGTTTACTGTTTGATTTTTAGATATATGGTCAGGTACGCTTTATGTTTGAAAGCTGGGCAGTTCACCATTGCCTTCCAAATAGACTTTATTTATTTATTTGTAAAGATTTTATTTATTTGAGAGAGAGAGCCCAAGCCCAGGGGGTGCAGAGGGAGAGGGAGAAGCAGGCTCTCTGCTGAGCAGAGAGCCCGATGCAGGGCTTGATCCCTGGACCCTGGGACCAGGACCTGAGCAGGAGGAAGGCGCTTAACCCACAGAGCCACCCAGGTGCCCCTACAGGATATACTTTAAATCATTTATCACATCAATGATGTTAAAATCCACAAGTTTATAATGGCAATAGGAAAAGAAAATACCATTCACCTGGAGGTTGCTATAGTAAGTTGCTAAGTTATATGGTAATGACAATTGGTAAATAAAGGAGAAGAATCAAACATTCTGGTTCTCCTATACAAATTGTATTTTAGGGTGACCAGAGTTGTTAAGAAAAAGCCTCTTTGTATAAATATTTCCACTTGGGGGGCACCTGGGTGGCTCAGTCGGTTAAGCGCCCAACTCTTGATTTTGGTTCATGTCATGATCTCAGGGTCATGAGATCAAGCCCCCTGTTGGGCTCTGCGCTCAGCACAGAGTCTGCTTGACATTCTCTCTCTCCCTCTCCGCACCTCCACGTATGTGCACACACTCTCTCTCTCAAATAAATCTTAAAAAAATATATATTTCCAGCTGGTAAGTATAAAAGAAATGATAAAAGATCATTTTGTAATCTCCTAATAAAATAGACTTAAATACCAATCATCAATGGATGCTAAAACATTAAAGATTGATGGGTCGAGTGAAAACACCTGGAGCCACTGATCAATTTTTTTTTCCACATCGATGAGAATCGAACGACCATAAATCATATGCATCTGCTATGGTGCATTTGAAACATATTGAATCACCTATGAAGTATTTTTTGCTACCTCCAAAATATTTTGAGTTTAAATCCAATTAAGCCTCTAAATGTAACAGTTTATGAGGAAGAAGGGATATGAACAATATAGGAAAGTGTCGAAACAACACCAGAGGAGATCCAGTCAACTAAACCCAGAATGTGGAAAGTTCTACAGGATAAATGACAAGATTTCCTTAACAAATAAATTACCTTAATAAATTAAAAAAGATTTAAGAGACCTAACTACCCAATACGGTATGTGGATCCTGATTTGACAAACAAGTTATAAACAGATACTTTTGAGACAATTGGGAAATTTGACTATAGACTGGATATTAGATGATATTAAGGAATTATTAACTAAGGGTTGGCAATTTTGTCCTTGTCATAATGATATGCAGTTGTTTTTTTGAAAATAGTCTACTAGAGGGGCGCCTGGGTGGCTCAGTCAGTTAAGCATCTGCCTTCAGCTCAGGTCATGATCCTGGGATTCTGGGATCAAGCCCCACGTTTGGCTCCCTGCTCAGCGGGAAGCCTGTTTCCCTCTCCCACTTCCCCTGCTTGTGTTCCCTCTCTCGCTGTCTCTCTATCTGTCAAATAAATCAATAAAATCTTTGAAAAAAAATTTTAAAGAAAAGAAAATAGTCTACTAGAGTCATATACTGAATAAGGACAGAATTCTATGATTAACAGGGTTTCCTTCAAAATATTCCAGAGGGAAGCGGGGAAGTGGCAAAAGAGTTGAAAACAAGATGAAGCTAGAATTGATAAGTATTAAAAGTGGGTACGAGGAACAAATGGGTTTTAATACCACATTCTCTATTTTTTGTGTGTTTTAAATTTTCTATAACTGGAAATTAAATTTAAATCAATCAATCCATACATACATGCTTAACATACAAACATACATGAAGGCTTTAGGGCTGCTTACTCCTATACCCCACTTGTGCCCTGGGGAAGCAACTGAGTGAATGGATCCAAAGTACTATAATATTAGGATGCCTGAGCCAGCTGGTGCTGGCTAGAAGTATGCTCCTGAGGAAAGGAGCATCTCTCTTTTTTGTGGAACCACTGAAGGGAAGAGTCCCAGTAGCAGCCACAGTGAGATCAGAAAGTGCAATCCAAGTCCCTTCCTTCTGATGGCCTGTGTATTCACAGGCCATCGAAGTAATGGTAGCCAAAGGTCTTGGTGACACAGGAGCTTGGGACTGACTTGGAGTGTAATTATCTCAAACTGGTGCTTCAGTAGTTACAAGGACACTATGTTCAAGTCCTGTGGGCGGCAGTGGAAGTTGACAAGGACATTGCTTTCCAAGGGCATCGCTTTGGAAAGCTGTGGAGTCAGCAATGACATGAGGCTCCCAGCTGCTATAGCAGCTTGGGTAACACCTTCCAGAACAATCAGCCATGATTGTGACTACTGCGATTCCTAGATGTACAAGAGAAAGACTTGGAGCAAGGAGAAGAGCGGAGGTCTGGATTTCCCACTGATCTAGACATGGGAGGTTTGCACTGACAAACCAAAGGCAGCCCCATGTTGAATCACCGGGTGTTCGTCAGTTGGTGAAGCAGGATTTATTCATTACCCAGCTCTTGAATTGCACGATTGTATCATTACATTTGATGGAAATTAGTCTGACTATGACTCAGAGGTATGACTAGAAAATTCCTCCCACTCCCTTGCCCCTTGTGTAATCTTGGGCAGGTTGCTCTTCTTGAAATTAAGATAATAATACCTTGCCTCTCTACCTCCAGGGTTGTTTTGAGGATCTGAAGAGATGATATGTGGAACTATAATTTTTGTAAACTATCAAATGCTGTACAAATATAAGGCATCATTATTACTATAACTGACTAGGTGATTTATATCTTAAAGCCCCTTATTTTCTTTGATTCTGTGTTAACAATGAATGTTTAATTAGTACATTATAAAATTAGATAGTCAAGAAATAACTACAGGGAAGTTTAGCATATAGTATGATCTTTTTATTTACTCCTATGTTACATAGGAATTCCTGGGAATATGAAGATCTTATCTACCTATATCCTTTATAGATATACATCTCCATCTCCTTTCTAGCTATATCTTTGAATGTGTGCTTATCAATTTAGGAGACAAACAAGTTGCTCTATATCCCATAAATAATGCATATTACTTTATAATCTCAATTTCATAAGTCAATATTTCTCCTGTCTAATAATGTATCACAACTGGGAGAAAGAAAAGAAGGTGACCAACTATAGTTCATGCAACAGATATAATTACCACTATTTTTGTATGGCTTGCAAACTAAGAATTGTTTTGACATTTTGAATTTTTTTAAATCAAAAGAAGAATATTTTATGACACGTGAAGTTCAAGTGTCAGTGTCCACTTATTGGAACACAGACACACTCATTCATTTATGTACTGTCTATGGCTGCAACAGCAGTTGAATACTTGTGAGAGAGACTATATGAGCAGTTGAATACTTGTGAGAGAGACTATATGGCTCACCAGGCCTACGATATTTACTATCTGGCCCTTTGCAGAAACGTTTCCTCATCCTTAGAATAGAGGAGTCAAAAGAATAAAAATTCAAAAATAAAATATCTAAGTTGTTAGCTTTCCTGGGGATAAATAAACTGGAATATATGGATTTAAATTATGCATATGCGGTAAGAGAAATTCAAAGTTATGGTTTCATTATCCAATGACCATTTTCAGTCAACTAGGAGGAAGTTAAAAATGTAATAAATAAAATATAAATAGAATACAATTAAATCCTTAGACGTATGTTCCCATTGTGCTCCATGTTGGTGGCAGAATAAAGAGAATAGGGGGTATATCTATTCTCTGATTAATACACAGTAGAAACTGACTCTGGCTAAGGGGAAAAGGTAGTTCAGTGGAAAGAGGATTCTTGAACAGTTCCAGAGTTGGTGGGAGAGCTAGAGATCATAACCTTTGGAAGGACAGGAATCTGGAGACCTCCAGTTCCTCAACAGCAAGAGACC